ATTTCTTTAAAATGCTGGGTATGCCCGGGAATACACGGGCACAACTGTAGGTCCGCCCATGGGTGAAGGCTGAGATACTTTATCGGGAGCGGTTGCACTTGACATCCGAGGATACCTTTCATCTCCTCGAGGACATTTTCACTCCTGAAAATCGGAGTAACGGAGCACTTGGCGAGATTAGTGACGAGTCCCAATGTGAAGCAAAAAATCCACAGGATTTCCCTGATCACCCAAGCCTCCTGGACATCCGGGTTCACAAGGATGATCACATCATCATCATAATTACTGCACTGGTACTTGTCGCAGGCTCAGTACTATTGATCACACCGTCCGAGCACGCCTTCTCAAACAGCTTGGACAAGGCCTCCATTGCTAGGATGAACAAGAGGGGGGAGAGGGAGTCTCCCTGCCGCACGCCTCTCAGAGCATCTCCAAGAGTCCTAATAAAGTATCCCAGTCTAGGACTTTTGGCAAGAATAGAAAAAACTTATCTCCAAGAGTTCCCAATCCCACCTCAGAGTTCCCAATAAAGTGTCCCAGTCTAGGACTTTTGGCAAGAATAGAAAAAAAACTTATCTCCAAGAGTTTCCAATCCCACCTCCTAATCTTTTGGCACTTGAAAAAAAATCACCAAACGTGCGGATATATCCGCGTGTCTTCCACGCGTGTATCGATCTCCCAAACTAAGAGCATCTCCGAGAGTTCCCAAAACATCCTCCTAATCTTTGTTTTTTAGAAAGATGGGGATACGTAGGAAACGCAGGAAACTCTTTGGACAAGTTCAGCTTCCCCATGACGCATGAAACACAGGCATATGAGGACGTGTAGGTAAAAGCTGGTGTTGAAGAAGTTGAAGTGCAGGGCGGAGCATGTGTTGAAGCTGTTGAAGTGCAGTCAAGTGCTGGTGGTAAACGCCCATGTGTTCCAAGGCAAACACCAAAAGGCAAAAAAATTTCATTCTGGACGAGGATGATATTGTTGTCTCGGCTTGGTTGAACCGTGACAGGTGCTAATCAGTCTCATTCCTCATTTTGGCGTAGAATTTCTGATTACTAGGCCCACAGGAAGTCATTTCCAAGCCGAACAGAGAGTTCACTAATGCAAAGATGGATGTATATTTTGGACAATGTCAACAAGTATTGTGCCTACTATGGCGCAATTGACCGTAGAAATGAAAGTGGAAAAACCATTAAAGACAAGGTTAGTGTTAATGTAATCGTTTTTTTACATATTTCATTAATCTTAGAACACATACACGTTGATATTTAATAAACATATGTTTGCAGGTTTCTGAAGCATCAGCTATGTTCAAAGGATTGAATAGTGACAAGACATTCACTCTGATGCATTGTTAGAACATTTTGAAGGATGAAGAGAAGTGGAAGGCCAAGATGAGGGAACTAGCAGAGCAGCAGAAGCAAGCTGCTAAGAAGAAACAGAAGATTCACGGACTCCACTCACAGGAACGTACAAGTCAACAATACTGAGGATGTTACTAAGATTGCACCCCTAGAGTCCACAGCCCAAAAGAGGCCAATGGGTTAGAAGAAGGCAAAAGAAGCTCTTAGGCGAGGAGGAGGTGAAGCTTGCATGGAGGCTTTGGACAAAATGTGGGCTAAGAAGGAGGCTTTTGACATGGAGAAAGAGAAGAAGAAAGAGGAGAGGTACATGGCTTGATGGAAAATGAGGACAAAATAATGGCAATGGACATTAGTGGCCTGACCCCGCTGCAGCAGCAGTACTACACAGTTATGCAGCAGAAGATTGTTGCTCGTCGTTTGGCGAATTAGAACTAGTTCATGTCATTTTTTTCCCTATAGCCATTTAATTTTGGAATTCAGTGAACCTTTGCTTTATCATATATGGTCAAGTGCTTTTTAATTTGTATTATTTATATTCCGTGAACCTTTGCTTTATCATATATGATCAAGTGCTTTTAATTTGTATTATTTATATTCAGTGAACCTTTGTATATGTGGCCATGAAATTGATTGGTACTGGTGCTAGCTGGGCGTCTGCTCCTTACCAGCGTATTGCCTGCATGGTCCTGTACTGCATGGAACTGTCTGCTACCGCTGGTTGGCCGCCTGATTGCCTGCTTTTTCTGTGTTCTTTGTTGATGGCTTTGCAATCAGCAGTCATGTCAAAATTCACCTACTGTTCCTGATCCTGATTGCTACCTGCTGCTGCTGGTAGATGACCGGCAACTACTGCTGCTGGTGGTGATTGGTACCTGCTGCTGAATTCTAGATGGACATGACCGCCTGATGCCTGCAGATAACCTTTGCTTTTGACATGAATGCTGATTGCTTGCATATGTGTTCGTATATAGTACACAAGTGCATGCTACTGTAGCTGATGTTGATTGGTACTGGCCGGCTGCATGGTATTTTGAGAAAGAAGAAAAATTTAAATTATATGACACAAGTGCACAAATCTGATTTCGAGAGAATGGAAAATTGTTTATAATCAAACTTAGGACAAACAAAGTATTAATTACAATTTGAGGCTGAAAAAGTACTCATGCTAATAAATACATAGAAGGCCTATGAACTTAATATTTATCACGAAAATGCTGCGAGAGGTGCTCGATGGGGTCTTTCTTTTAATTGGTGGTGTGTTTCCTTGTCTCTAATCCTTTTATGTGCTTCAATAAATTCATCAAGGGTGTGATTACTCTCATGAGAAGGTTCCACATTTTAGCCACCATAGTCGAACCGCTCTGTAGGGTCAACGACTCCCTCATCTTCAACAATCATATTGTGCATAATGACACAAGCTTTCATGATGTTGCCAAGTGTCTCCGTGTCTTATAAACGAGCTGCTCCTCGAACAATGACGAATCTTGATTGCAGAACCCCAAAAGCTCTTTCGACATCCTTCCTTGCTGCTTCCTGTGCTTTGGCAAAATATTTGTTCTTGTTCCCCATAGACTGAGAGATGGACTTCACTAAAGTAGCCCATGATGGGTATATACCATCGGCTAGATAATAACCTATTGTGTAATCATGACCATTTATGGTATAGTTCACCTCAGGAGCTCTACCCTCTGCTAGCTTGGCAAATAAAAGAGACTAGTGAAGCACATTGATATCATTATGAGATCCAGGCATTCCAAAAAAGACATGCCATATCCAAAGATCATTAGAAGCAACAGCCTCCAAACTAATAGTGGGCTCCTCCATATGCCCCTTGTACTCACCCTGCCATTCTAGAGGACAATTCGTCCATGCCCAATGCATACAATCTATGGACCCTAACATACTAGGAAAACCATTTTGCTCACTGAGTACCAGTAAGCGTGTTGTGTTAGCCTCATTAGGATATCTCAGGTATTCATCTTTAAATAAATCAACAACTGCAGCAACGAATCTACATAGGCTCTCAATTGCGGTACTTTCTCCAATGCGAACATACTCGTCCGTAGCATCGGCTGGAACTCCATATGTTAGCATACTTTTTGGAAGCAACATAATCCAAGAACATTGGCTGCACTTCTTTTTTGCACAAAGTAGTCATCGTATGATTCTACAGCATTCATTATGCGTAGGAAACAATCCTGACTCATCCCGTACCTGAAATTAAAAAATAAAATAAATCTTACAACAATTACATAGCGTAATATGTACATATCACAAGTGAATGAACATGAACCTCCGACGGAATAGATTTGGCCCATATGTCGGATCATCAGCCAAGCAATCTTGAAACATCATTTGGTGCCCACATTCTCTATCTCGATAAATAACTTTATGGCCTGGGACAGAACCACCATGTCTTCTTTTTTTATTTGAATATGTTTCAACAATTGCAGCTGCTGACATGATGAGACAAACATCGTCGTCTGATGAGGAATCTTCTAATTCTCTTTGCAACAGAGATTTCTCAGCAGCCATGACTCTACCGACCTTGTGAGGCAGCCTGTAGGCTGTGACTGGTGTGGCAGGCTGGAAGCTGCTCGCGGGCGGCTGGAAGGTGGCGGCGGCAGGCAGGGAGGAGGGCGTGGCCGGCTGGAAGGTTGCCGCGGCTGGCTGGAAGGAGGCGGCAGCCGGTTGGGTGGTGGCTGCGTTGACCGGGACTGGGCTCAGGGTATGTCATGCCGATATATTTCCCATGACAAAAAACAAAAAAAGCCGGAAAAAGTTGATGTGGGCTTCAAATTTGACTTTTTAGATGTTATTTATTAGAAACTCTGGGAGATGACTATCTTTTTTCCTCCCAATATCTTTTTAGGAGTTGTCAAACTACAACTTTTTAGGAGAAAAAAGTAGGAAACTCTTGGAGATGCTATAAGGTGAAAGGACGTGTGAAAGAATAAAGAGTAAGAAAGAGTTCTTGATACAAATGTACAAGAGAGAAAGAATATATAAAAGTGGTTAGGATAATTTAGTGATAGTATAGGATGATTCCTGATGTAAAATTGTCTTCTATATTTTGAGAGTGAATTATTGAAAACTATTAGAGATGGTTTTATTTATTCCTCCGGATACTTTTTGGCGAGATGGTTTTATTTATTCTTCCCAATACTGTTGGAGATATGGTCTTATATGGTGTAGCGGCCTCCCTACTTGTCATGAGTCTAGAGCGAAAATGATGAGATTCTGAATTCCAGCAAAAGTTTAGTTGAAGTTTTGAACCCTGACTCGTAGTCGCACCTTGAGCAGTTAGTTCTACGTGACCGACAAGGATTGTAAATTCTTTTATTATTAGAAGCAACATGTAATCGAGTCAATATTAGAATCTATCACATCCGGTTTCAGAAAAAAGGGAGCTGCTATATATATCTGCATAAATCAACCTTCCAAACCTTGTCATCTGCATCGATCGTAGAAGAGTGCGTAGGTCGCCGCCGCCGCCGCCGCCGCCGGGTGTTTAGTAACAAATAACAAAAATCCCGCGATATGTCACCGTTACCGCCGGTCAGCTACGTGCCCTTAGATGCGGGCGCCGCCACGTCGTCTCCGGAGGCGGAGGAGGTCTCAGTGTCCACCGTCGCCGCCATGGCGGTCGCCACCGATCACCTCATGCTGAAACTCCAGGGTTACTCGTGGCTCAAGGCGATGCACGGCGAGAACGGCAGCTACATCGAGTCATCGGCGTTCGAGGTCGGAGGTCACACCTGGAGGATCCGATGCTACCTCAACGGCAACAACGAGGAGGACGCCGGCTTCGTCTCGCTGTATCTGAACCTCTGTAGCGACTCCGTTGTCCACGCCGAGTACGAGTTCGCTCTGGTGCGTCACCAAGGCACGCCGCCGGCGTACGGTCACCAAGACATGCTGAGCAAGAAGTCGCTGGGCTTGCGGACCTTTGGGGGCAAGGATAACAACCGCGGCTGGGGTCGCCCGCGGTTCATCAGCGTGAAGAAGCTAGAGCGGTCCAGGTTCCTCAAGGACGACTGCTTCGCCGTCCGGTGCACGGTCACCATCGTCCAGGAGCGGACCGTGAAGGAGAAGGTCGTCGTGCAGGCGCACGACATGGCGAGGCTGGGCCTGGGGATGCTCTGCAAGTGCGACGACGACCTGTGCAAGCGCCATCACGCCAGGCCTGCCGAGACTTTCTTGGAGACATTTGCCAACTTCTGCTATTCCATCTGCCGTGGCCCCGTTTGAATAATCCAGTGAAATTAATTTATTTATCCACCAATGTGAAAGTGTGTGACATTATCTTGTGTTAATAATTTTACTCATATTATTATGTACTAGTTCTCGATGTTAAATGCTTTGGAGACAGCTTATACAATTTTCTACAAAAATTGAGACCATGAATTTTTTTGATAAATCCGATACTCCTGTTTATCGGTGACCCAGTATTGTTTTTATTTTTGCTATCGATAAAGTGAAGCTTGATGTTTTTTATATCAATATATTATTATGTGGGTAAAATCTAATATTGTGTCCAACGCAAATGCATGATAGTTCTTCTGTCTCGTGACTATACTTGTGAATGGATAAGCGCGGTTCATGTAGTTAAGTCTTTCTAGTCTTTGTGGTGGAAGTGTCAACGTCTTTATATGGATTTAATTTCAGAAACAAACAACACTATTCACCTTATTGGTTAGCAACATGTCTATAGACCATGAGGCACTTATCATGACTTTGCCAATCTTAAGATCGATCCACTTAAAGTATCGGTTGGGTGGATGCAGCTTAACCTGGCTTGCGTGATGGTGGCTTTCGATGTTTTGATTGGCCGTTGGCCTGGCTATGAGGAAACGAGATTGAAATCTGTTCCTCTATGGTGTGGTCGAGCTCGGGCTGTGCGAAGCAAGAGAGCGGGGATGCGAGAGGATTTCTACCACAGGCCTGGCTACGTGCAAGTGGACAACCAAGCAAATTTTCTTGGGGTGTGATTGGTTTCTGTCTCTTCTCGGCCTGGTTCGTTGTTGAGAGCGCGTGCTGGACAGGATCAAAGAATACGAACGCGTCTTGTTTAGTTGCTTGCCTCCGACTAGCCTATCTATGTGTTGAGCATGTAGCAAGCGAAATTTCTCCTCCCATGTGCTTACACGCACACTGCATGCATGAGCTAGGTTTCGAGGAAACAAAGAAAATCCATGTACCTTGCAAGCTAGGTCTGACTGCTAATTCAGCTAACCAATCAAGACATCTAGTGGGCCTATATAGCTAGGCTACTTGCAGCGTATCAATCAGCCCCTTATGTATCCATCAAGCCTATAAGCCGATGTTGGCCTGGTTGCCTAGTTCCAAGCCCATCTGAGTTAGAACACGAAACCAATCATGCCAAATTAAGAAGAATGTGTTTGGTTCCATGGATATTTATGAATGAGAGATGGTAATAGATATTTTGAATGCGTTTGGTTCACGAACAAGCAGGATGAGGCGGCCACCTAGAGAGAAATATTTCTTCTTATCCATAATGGATTTACCTGGACCAATACATGAGATTCTTGTGCTATTTGGGGGATTTGTAATAGTTTCGAAATCAGACCAAGCATCTTAATACATATGCAAAAAAAATCATTATTGGCCCACCATTGATTACAGGATTGAGCTTTTATAAATCGCTATTGGTTTGATACGAATAATGGCAGTCATTTCGTTATGTTAAGGACCCTCAATTAGAGGCATGCGGTCCAGCCGCTATAAAAATGATTTTTGTCCGCATCTGAAAAATATTGATATAGTAGTGTATTTAGCGTAAATAATAAAAGGTACAATAGTACGGGTAGTGTTTACCTGAAAAATACATGTCATCAATCTAAACGGAAAACGATGGAATTCTGAATTCCAGCCAAAAATTATTCGAAATTTTAAACCCTGATGATGACTCCTGGTCGCACCTTGAGCAGTTGTGCGTAACCGACAAGGATTGAAAATTGTTTTGTTATCAACATGTAATCGAGTCAAATATTAGAATCCGATTCCTGTTTCACAAACAAGAGAGCTGCTCTATATATATATATATATATATATATATATATATATATATATATATTTGTATATCTGCATAATATAAATCTTCCAAACCCTAAGTCATCTGGCATCTATCGTCGAGTACCCCTCCGGTTCTTTAGAACTCATAAAATAATGAAGGCATACTACGTGTCCTTAGATGGGGGCGCCACCACGTGGTCTCCGGAGGAGGTCTCGGCGTCCACCGTCGCCGCCACGGCGGTCGGCACGGGGCACCACCTGCTCAAGCTCGAGGGCTACTCGCTGCTCAAGACGACGCACGCCAAGAGCGGCAGCTACATAGAGTCCTCTGCGTTCAAGGTCGGAGGTCACACATGGAGGATCCGTTGCTACCTCAACGGCAACAGCAAGGAGTACCCCGGCTTCGTCTCGCTGTTCCTGTACCTCTGTAGCGACGCCGCCGGACCCGCCGTCCACGCCGTGTACGAGTTCGCTTTGGTGCGTCACCAGGGCACGCCGCCGGCGTACGGTCACCAGGGCAAGCCGAGCAAGACATCGCACGGCCACTACGGGATACAGTCATTTCGCCGAGTGCAAGGGGCACTCGGCAATGGCCCAAAGATACTTGGCATACAACACACGGCATCTTTTTGTCGGCAAACAGCTATTTGCTGAGTGCTGCCTTTGTCGAGTGCCGGAAAAGCACTCGGCAAAGATTTACACTCAGCAAAACAAAAATACAAAAAAAAACCCAAAAACAATAGCAAAATTTTTCAATTTTTTTTTTCGAGGGAGGCTGCCACTGGCCAGCGCCTGTCTTCATCGAAGTCGGTGCTTTTTTTGCGCTAAATTCGCGGCTAACGCGGTCGGCGGGATTCGAACTCACGACCTCTTCCTCGCGTGTCTGCTGCTCTACCACTGCACTACACTGTCACTTGTGTCTAGATTCCGTTATCTATCCTCATATATTATACTAAACCGAGAGTAAATTGCTTGTTTGAGGCCCTAAACGAATTCAAATCAAAAAGTGATCAACTACAAAGTTTCATAACTTTTTGAGGTCTACAATGTTCATTTAGGGAGTTTTTCCATCTGAGGTCGTTTGAAAAATTCGAATTTTAAATTTGAGAGATTCAAACGTAGTTTTGCATGATAAGATGATTTCAAATCAAAAAGTTGTCAACTACATAGTTTCATAACTTTTGGAGATCTACAATTTTCATTTAGGAAGTTTTTCTATCCGAGGTCTTTTGAAAATTCAAATTTTAAAATTTTCAAATTCAAACGTCGTTTTTGCGTGACAAGATGATTTCAAATCAAAATGTTGCCAACTACAAAATTTCATAAGTTCTCAAGATCTACAGAGTTTATTTTGGTCATTTGTTCATCCGACATAGTGGTAGTAACATTGTGCACAAATCTTATATATCTCTCTTCTACTTTTATGAAACTAATATGAGATAGATATGAGAGATGTAGATTTTATGAACAACGTTATTGTCGTTTTGTCAAATGAAGAAATGACCAAAATAAACTTTGTAGATCTTGCGAAGTTATACAACTTTATAGTTGAAATTTTTTTCATTTGAATTCATTTAGGACCTCAAAAATTGCTTTGAAAAACTGATTTGCTGAGGGAAAAAAATGCACACAGCAAAATGCCTCTTTACCGAGTACCAAAACAAAGACACTCGGCAAAATACATCTTTGCCGAGTGCCAGAAAAAAGCACTCGGCAAAGACGCATTTTGCCGTGTGCCGAAAAATAGTACTCAGCAAAATACATCTTTGCCGAGTGTCGAAAAAAGGCACTCGGCGAAGACGCATTTTGTCGAGTGTATTTTATTTAGCACTCGGCAAAGACCATCTTTGCCGAGTATCCGATAAAATACACTCGGCAACTCCGGCACTCGGCAAAGTGCCGGTTTACGGTAGTGGGCGTACGCTCGGTCGTCAGCGCGTTTGGCGGCAAGGACAACAGCTGCGGTTGGGGTCTCTCGCGGTTCATCAGAGTGGAGGACCTGGAGCGGTCGTCGTTCCTCCAGGACGACTGCTTCGCCGTCCGGTGCACGGTCACCGTCGTCCAGGAGCGCACTGCGAAGGAGAAGGCCGTGCAGGCGCACGATCGACATGGCGAGGCTGGGGATACTCTGCAAGTGCGACGACGACCTGTGCAAGCGCCATCACGCCAGGCCTGCCGAGACTTTCTTGGAGAGATTTGCCAACTTCTGCTATTCCATCTGCCGTGGTCCCGTTAGAATAATGCAATGAAATTTATTTCTCGCCTGAAATTCCACTTTTTACTAGTACTCCATCTACATAAAAAGAGTGTGATATTCTCTTGTATCAATATATTATTATAAACTAGTTCTCGATGTTAAATGCTTTAGAGACAGCATATACAATTTTGTACAGAAAAAATTGAGCCACTATTTTGTTTTTATTTTGACCGCGATTTTTTTTTTGATAAATCTTGTAGTCCTGTTTATCGGTGACCTCCATTATTGTTTTTATTTTTGCTATCGATAAAGTGAACCTTGATGTTTTTCTTATATCAACATATTCTGTCGGCAAAATCTAATATTGTGGCCAACGCAAATGCTTGATAGTTCTTCTTTCTCGTGACTATACTTGTGAATCGATAAGCGCGGTTCATGTAGACATGAATGAGGTCTGAAGGATGGATTTGGGTACCCACCCCAAACTGGGGGCTCTAGTTGAGGGTTAGCCGCATCTCAGGCTCTCGGCAAAGGATTTGCCGAGGGTTAGCCGGCCGCCAGCAAAAATTTTCGCCGTGACGGCGAGAGGTCACGGTAAAGTTGATCTTTGCCGAGAGCCTTAGCAAGCTCTCGGCAAAGAATTTCTGATTTTTTTTCCAAAAAACTTTGCCGAGCGTCTGTCAGAATAGCTCTCGGCAAAGAATATTGACAATTTTTTTAGACATTTTTTTGCCGAGAGCTATGGCTCAGCTCTCGGCAAAGGCTTCCTCTTTGCCGAGGGCTATGGTCATGCGCTCGGCAAAGCTGGGATTCTGTGTGTTCTAGAATTCCCAGCTTTGCCGAGGGCATGACCATAGCCCTCGGCAAAGCCACAGTCAGTTTTAAATTTTTTTTTGTTTTTTGCATTTTCAGTCAACAAATAAACATATATATGACATCCACATCACAATAAGCACATCCACATATCAATAGCCACATCCACATCACATAATTCACATCCACATCACATAGAAGTCTC